ATGGAGTTGTAGAGACTGATTTTGTAGGAGCATTATTTTGCAAATAAGTTGCTACTTCCAAAGCATATCCACGTAGGTTTTCTCAAAGATCAGTGAAACCCATCATAGATCTTACCATATCCAATAAGGTTTGATTCTTTCTCTCCGATACACCATTATGTTGCAGTATTCTTGGAGGTGTCCATTGTGAGACTATTTCATTCCCTCTTATATAACCAATAAAATTGGTACTAAGATATTCACCACCTCTATAGATATAAGTATCTTAATACTTTTTCCAATTTGTTTTTTTGCTTCACTGCAAAATCTTTTGAACATTTCAAATGATTTTGATTTATGCTTTTCATTATATATAAAAAACTATATCTAGACATTTCATCGGTGAAAGTTATGAAGTGAGAATATCCACCTTTGACTTGAATTTTCATTGGCTCACAAACATCTATGTGAACTAATCCTAATAATTCGGAGGCTCTCTCTCCAATTCTAGTAAAAGGAGATTTAGTCATCTTTCCTTTAAGACAAGACTTACATGTTGTATATGATTTATAATCATAATTACTTAGGTATCCTTCTTTATGTAACTTGTTGATTCGTTTTTCACTAATGTGACCAAGCCTACAATGCCAAAGATATGTTTTATTTATTTGATTATCCCTCTTTCTTTTAAAACTAGAAGAAACATTAAAATCAAATTATAATTCACATCAGGTAACACCAAATGTCGTGTTAGAAGTAACCAATTGCATACAAATTTTCATCATGATAAATTGAGCAAATGTTATTATTAAAATTAATATGAAAATCTCGCTTATCCAACATAGAAATTGAAATAATGTTTAAAAAAAAATTCAAAACATAAGAACAATCCTCTAACACTTGTACTTTGCTAGTAAGCATTTTTAAGGAAACAGATCATAAAGTTAAGGCAACAACATTTGCTATATTCTCTACTTGAAGATTGATCTCTCCTTTCTTTAACCATCTACTTATCTGCATTCCTTGGAACATATTGCAAATGTTAAAGCTATTGCTTGTATCTAATACCCATATTGAAGAATCAGTGACAGTTAAAGATATCACAAAAATATTTTTTCATTAATGTCTCACTTTATTTCTTGTCTTTCAAAGAATCGGTATTTTTTGCAGTTTCTTTTCTAATGACCTTTTTCCTTACAAAAGAAACACTCTTCATCACTTTGGTCAATTTTGACCTTGTTGTGCTTGGGTTTAGTCACACCACCCTAAGTCCAAAAGGCTTCTTTTTAGGGATATGTTTTCCTTTTCCTTTTTTTTTGGGATTTTTGCCAACCACCAAGATAGTTCTCTTTTTCTTTTCAAGAGTGAGTGATATGATTTTCATACTCAATATGAAAATTTAGCATCTCATACAAGTCATTATTCATTTTGTTCATGTTGAAGTTTACAATGAACAATGCAAAATTATCAGGTAATGACTGCAAAATTAAGTCTTGAGAAAGTTCTTTCTCAAGTTTACATTCTGACTTTTCATGTTACTCAATTAGATTAATCATATTAAGAACGTGTAGTCCAACTTCAACATTTTTAACTATTGTGGATCTAAGCAAAGCTTTAGATAACTGGTATCTAATCGTCCTGCTTTGGCCATCATACATCTTCTTAAGATGTATAATGATTTCCTATGGATCATAATATTAATAAGCTTCTCATGCATGAGAACAATTCTAGTGTTGTGATACTAGTCATCATAATTGGCTTCAACCAATTTTTCATATTCAAGTATGCCACGAAGCAAGAGCAAAGACATATTGTTGATCAAACATGTTGTAAAACACAATTATGTTAGAACATATAATAAAATCTTAAAACTATGAACGAGCTACTTGGTTATCAAGTCATTTCTCACACATATTTTAAGAAAATAAGTTGTATCATATACACTTATAAAAGAAATATTATACCACATAATTCTTGGTTGTCAAGTCAATCTTATTAGCATTTATGAATTAAATTTAATACTTCCCAAATAATCTAAGCATTTAGTATAAATTTTTTTAAAAAAAATTCTTTCATGCAATAGTAAACTATTAATTATAAGTCTCTTATTTGTGAGGACGTTCCTTATTTGTCAATTTTTTCTGGACATGGGATTAATCATTGCATTAGTAAAGAGGTTGAGGCATGAGATGCACAACTTCTACTTGCATCCAAATTGGGCACTTGTTCTCTTTTGTATCAATTAAATATGTATTGATGGTTCTTCATTCACCTTACTTACATAAAATTAAAACAATTTAGTTAAAAATAATGTAACCGTATAGATAATAAATCATAAAATTATCAAAATATATTAAAGGTTTTCTTATAAGAAAGCACAAACAAATTAAATTTGAATCTAACTTTTGATGATCTTGAGAAATTTTAAGATTGACATACATATGCGAACCATCTCACCTAGTAATTTTTCACTTGTTTGAATTCTTCAACAATAAACCTCTTACTCCCCATGGACAACCAAAACTATGGTTCAATCATTTCATATACAAACATCTTGATTTAGACTCGGTCACAAAATAACTTCGGTAAAATTCATCCCGTAATGTTTTAATATATTTTTCACATCCTCTTTAACATCAAATAACAAGCCGACGAATAAATGATCTTCTTCAACCTATGAATTGACTTCTTTAAAATGTTCTTCATTCATTTTTTGATCAGGATGTTCTCAATTAATATACTTATAGTGTGAGGTTATATTCCAAAAAGGAATTATAGTATCTCCTGCATTACATTTTGCAAAAATTGTTCTTATTACTACTAACATAATTATTTAAAAATAACAAATTTTTAACATTATTTTAACAATACCTCCTACTATTTCTTAAAATATTTAAGTTAGAATTAAATTCGTCCTCAACATCAGTAGAAGAAGAACTATATAATGAAATTTCTCCTTCATCATTCCCATCACGATAACTATCATAATCTGTATCTTCATATTCTTCATCAATATCATTACTATTTCCTTTATTGCAACAAATTCATAACTTTTAATTTTAATGAATAAATATAGTAATAAAATAATTTCTAAATTTCAACTTTGCTTAAATAGTAAATCATAATTCACAAGTGATAAATCATTTTACTGTAAAAGTGATAAATTTAAATTCACTATCTTTTACAGAACTGATGAACTTACACCAATAGCGATATTCACAAATAACTCAATAATAGTTCTACTGGCTTATTGTTGATATGCATTTATCATACAATCAATATCTTTATAATCACATATATCCAAAGTTGTGTACTGTCTAATATTTTTATCAATAAAAAATGTGAAGTTAATGTAGAAATAACTTGATTATGACTAAAATTAAGTTTTAAATGAATTTTTCTTTCTAAGTCTTCAAAACTTATTGCTCATTTTATCTTAATCATTTTCTTATTTCCTTTGAAACTCACTCTTTCATTTTTTTCATAGCCTACTATTTCAATATATAATAATAACAATTTCACTCATCCTGCATATTTACAAATAAAAATTAATTAATACTTTATTATTTTTTTTAAGATTAAAATCTGAAAAATAACAATCATTCACTTATTAATCATACTAGTTAATTCAAAATAAATTAATAATAACTAATTTTATACTTTTAAATTAACTTAGCAATACTGACAGAGATTGGTTCAAGTGCTAAGCAGCTCAGTCACATTTATCTCGAACAAAGAAATAATTCAAAAATTATAATAAATGAAGAATTTATTTTTAATTTACATTATTTAAATAGAAAAAAGCCTAACTTATGAGTGCCATTTGATGCAAGATAGTATCGTCTGACGCGTATTCACACCATTATTTACCAAATCGTGTACTGACGTGTAAATTTATTATTACAAGTTGAATAATTATCCGTTAAAAATTGTGTCGATAATTTCCAACAAATGTATACGTGTCATATATGTTGGCAACAATTTTTTTTTATCTCATTCAAGACAACATTTTATTTTATTTTTTAAGTTTTATCTGTTCTTTGATTTGCAAATACTTGAACTCGTGGTAATTTTTACTTGTAATTATTTTAATTTTATTTATTCCAAACTTATAATTTTTTGCTTTTGAAATTTTCTTAAATTGTAAAATGACTTAAATAGTCCTTTATCTTTTCTATAAATATTGTAATTAATTTCTTAATGAAGAATAAACAAGAAAAAGTACTATATACTGCATAAGTTAACAAAACTTGTGTTCTATTTTAAGCTTTTTCCGCTTAAAAACACGATCCTAAGTATTCACCTCATCTTAATAAAAGTAGCTTTTAAATAAAAATATATATAATGTAACTTCGTTTAATCATTAAAAGTGTTATCTTAAGTAAAACTTTAAAGATTTGTGCATTGCTAGCTCCTGAAGAGATGATAAACCCCCCAAAATGGAATAATTAATTCATCAACACCACTTGTGATTCAATCAAATGGCATGCATATCTTCATGAGTTTTCATCCTTTCATTGTTGCTGATCTGTGCAACATATCAGTGGAAGCATCAAGAGGCAGAATATTGAAACCCAAGTACTTCCTCAAGTCGTTTTTATACGGCACATTTAATTAAATATACTACAATTTTATCCTTATTTAATATAATTGGACTTAACCCCACTATCAACATTTATCCTTATTAGTTTTAATTTAAAACTTTTACCAACTTCATTTATTAAAAGTAAAATAAAAGAATAATAAATAAATCATAAAAACTATAACATGCCTTGTACTAATAAGAACTACAAAAATTTTTTAAAAGACTATACAGTATGTGCTCAAAATCCACCTGTGACAAGGTGTTGGCCAAGCTAAGCATTCAACATGAGGCATCCTAGCTTTGAAGATGATTATGACACAAGGAATGATGTTAAGGACAAAAAAGATGAAAACCACATATCTCAAGTACCTTTCATCCTTGCATTAACCTTGAAGCTGCAAAGGAAAGAGTTGATTGTTTTCAGTTCTGTGACTTTTTATTCTCTCTCACGCCGGTAGATGTTAACAGAACCAAGAACAACCTTTCCAACTCTTCTGTTTCGACGTGCTCGTCTGCTCATACTTCTTTTCCTTTGCTTCTCAAGAGGCTGTGACATTGGTAAAGAATGAATCCATCTTAATGGTACTAAAGCTGCAAGGAACTGTGTGAGAATTCCTGCGGTCAAGCCCGAGTAATCACCAGATGTAATGCCAAGCAAAGAGGCCAATCCAATACCGAAAAATGCACTAGCTATTGATGATAGACACAGAGCTGAAGCAAGGAATGCAGTGAGAGACCCTTCACAACCCTTTGGACATAAATTTACAAATAAAACTGAGAAAGGAAGGAGTTTAAACTGAGCCACAATTTCTGACAAACCAGAAAAGCAAAGAGCAAACACGTCGTTGGGAATTCCCATTTTAAGATTTATCTGTCTTACCAAAACAAGATCAAGAAGTAGAGATGAAGCATATAGAATCTGCACCATGCCTATCAGCTTTCTCATTGGAAATTTTATCCAGTAACGATTATAAAGCACGGTTCCTGAAAGAAGTGCCAACTGGCCAATCACTCGAGACCACCCAATTACAGTTGGATCAAGATTCAGATACTGTGTCTGATAACAAAATATAGAACCTGAAAGCATTGGGACCATTGCAATTGATGCAAAAATCCATATAAGGGGTTTGGAAATGCTTTTGTCACTGATAGCCATGACAAGGTCAGAGACTTGTTTTCTGATATTTTCTGAGATGAATTTCCTACTTTGATTTTGACCAGAAAGTTGCTGTATGCCTAATGATTCCTCTCTTGTTGAGTAAGAAATTGCTAGTTGTAGAGACAGTAAAGATGAAAATATGAGAAACATGGTTCTGGGAGGCATTTTCTGTAAGAAATAACCACCAACCAAGTTGCCTAAGATTCCACCTGCAGCTAATGCCATGAATGCATATGATTGTAGGCCACCAATTTTGTGCTTCTTTCCATACTCTGCTACAAGAGCATCCTGTGCTACTTCTGTAATGGATGCTCCCAAATTACTGAGAAGCACAGATGCAATTAAGTTTGGAAGCACTTCACTTGTCATCGGGACTAATGCTAGAAGACTCCAAGAAAGGACCTGCAAAGACACTGAAGATTGAACCATATAAGTATTTCTTTCTTCTTTCAAAAGAAGTTCATTAAGAAGAAAATATAGTAATTAAGAAATTGTAGGACAAACTATCTCCGTTAAAATAAAAGAAGAACATAAACAATAAAGAGGAAAAATAAACATCAATGGAGAAAAGCTATCCAATCCCTCAACATGTGTCTATTAGGAAAGATGCCATGGGATTTACACCAAATAGAAGCCAAAAGCTTAATGCTATTCTAAATCTGCTGCTGTGCCAAAGAAACTTCCTTGAATATACAGAAATGGCACTCAAAACCATGTACGCCACAGTGTGGCATATATAATTTTTGTTCTATTCTTAAACATAACGCCAACATTTTCTTGTTTTTCCAATTTTCAGATCTATGGCCAATAATGTATACATGACTATCTTGAAAACTCTAATCAACTTACTATCCATACACAAGATACTCATGAATTTTGGAAGGTACAGACACATGTTTACCAAATTCTTATGAGGCATCAGTTACTCCACTACTACATAATCATATAACATTAATTGAAATACATGCTAATGTGTGTTTTAAGACAAAACAGAGGAGTTTAACCTTGCTTCTGTCTATTACACGCTCGTAATTTCTCAATCAGAGATATTCTTTATACCCAACTAAATTGAATTTTGCATTGTAAGGAAATTGTCCTTTTACTTGTTTCTCTATAGAATTTGCAGATACACACAGAGGCAAGTTGAACCTGTAACATATGGAAAAAGATGTATAACCTTAATACTACCTCCGATTCTTTTTATAAGAAACAAAATGAAGCATTTTCTTGATCCTTATTATAAGAAACATTAATTGTTAAATTTCTTTTATACCTTTCTTTTATTAGTATTATTAATTGTACAAATTACTAACTATAACATTTAATATCATGAATATTTTTTGAATAAAGTTTATATTTATAGAAAACTTAAGTGACTTAATTGTTGCTTTCTTTAGTCTTGAAAATTTAGTCTTTTGTTTCTTATAAAAATGATCAGAGTAACTAAACAAAAAAGCCTTAACATCAGATCACACTGCTCCAAACCAAAGAAATTTTAAGTCTGAACCGAAGATACATTGAGGATTAGGACCTTGCCTTATGTATAAAAGAAAACAAAACAGGAGATTTTGTTCTCAAATCCCAAAACTCAATCATATTCATAGTCTGTACTTCGTCTATCGTATTATATATCTTTTATGATTGACTTTTTTATTCCTATGACCTTATCAGCTCGTTAGAGATAAAGTTCAAACTTTTGATTCTACACTTTGTACTGGTGTACTCTCATATGAACCTTATCTTCAGATAAAGCCCAATATAAATAAACAAACAAAATAATTGAGAAAAAAAAAATGAAACAAGTCATTCATTATATCAATATTCTAATTCAAAAGCGGATTAAAGATACAAAAGCAAATACTGTGTTGAAAGGTAAAGATGTATTCGAATGAATAGCTGCATATACAAAGATTAGTTTCTCATTCAGAGAAAGCAAAAGACACAACCACTTAGGAAAACAAAAGTTAGCTGATACCCTAGAAGTATCAGTTAAAAAACCAATAAGTAGAAAATTGATTAAAAATCACTCCAGAGTGTATTAAAAATAAAGCATAAAATACATTTAATAATTTTTTAAATGAAAAAAAAATCAATTTTTGATTCCTTAACAAGTCAGCATTTAACAAAAACATAATTTCCTTATTAATGGGAACAAAAAAGCACAACACTGAAGACATGTGGGTTGGTTCGACAGTTTCAAAGTTTGACCATACCTCCTATAACAACATAAGGGATTCTGCGAGCACCACCAACATAGATAGCATCGGAAACGAGTCCATAGAGGGGTTTAGCCACCATGGGAAGGTTAGCAGAGTTCTGCACAAGTTGCAACGTGGAAGGGTGCAAGTTGAGATTGTTTGCCATGTGGAAATTCAGCGCAAGCCACGGAAAGCACCTGAAACCTTGTACCCAATAACCCAACCCACACAAAAACAACATTTGTTTCGTGCTCCCAACGTGAGGAGGAGGACCCCTCTCTTTCTCATACATCCTCTGAGCCTTTTGTTCTCTCACCAGAATCTGCTCCGTCACCGTATTCACCAAAAATGTGGGTTTCTTATTGATTGCATTATTGGGATTCTGGGCTTTAAAACAAACTATGGGTACCCTTTTGTGCCGTTTATTATGGAGTTTCGGCATGAAATTCACCAATGGGTTCTGAAAAGATATTGCAGCGTAAATCATTGTTTTTTAAATCAATGAATAAACAAATTAGTTAATATAATTTGACAATGTTGAAGATAGAGTGGAGCAGAAGAAGGTGACACTGGGTGGAGCTATGTGTTAAAGAAAGAATACATAGGAAGGGGGATCTAGAAGAGTGTATTGTGGGGTTTCGAGAAAATTAAAATAATTAAAAATTAAGTGGTAAGTGTTTGGAGAGGAATGAAGAGGGTTCGAGGTTTGTGGAACTGGTGGAAATGTTCCTGGTTTGTGTTGTGTGTTGGGGACGCGCCGCGAGTGTGACGCGTGTGGGTCCGATTAGTTCTGAGGATTTGCAGGTCCCATGTGTGACGTGGACTCTGATTGTGACTCCAACTTTGATTGGATTGTCATTCAGGACCGTTGAAATCCCTTGATTGGAAATTTGCGGCACAGCCATTTTCACGTTTTTGTCACACTTTTTTCCAGCACTACACAATGAAAAGGACTATATTAGATTCAAACAATTAATAAAACCACGTTTTTTTTATCATTTTTTACTGTAAATAAATTTACAATTATCTTAATTCAGATTATTAGTTATAAGATTTTATATAATTTAAAATTTTATTTTAATGTATAATATATTCTTTAACATATAACTAAATAGTTATTATTTTATTAAAGTATATGTAGTAATAATAATATTATTATTACATGAATTAATAGTTAAATTTTATTCTTTTATTAAGTTTGATATCAGATAATAATAATAATAATAATAATAATAACATTGTTAAATTATTAATTAAAAGTTTAGATTTGAATAGATTTAAAAAATATAAATTGATTAGATATAATTTTCTCATTATAAAAATGGATTATTATTAACTATGTGGGAAGGTAAAAGAACTTGATAACTGTAAAATAGTTTATCTGATAAAGTTAAATTAAATGCTGACGGAATTTACTATATGATAAGATTTTTAAATTTTAATTAAGGACGTTAATAAAAACGATTCAATATAGTGCGAATAATGAAAATTAAATAATAAATAAATATTGTTTATTATATTGGTTTAGTTATTGGATATAATATATGTATATTTATATTACTATATATGAAATCATCGAATTAAAATAAAATTAGGTTGGCGCGCCATGAATATCTCAAATAGTTTGTGTAAAATTGTTTTTAATTAAATATAATTTTAATATTGATCATAATTTAATTATTCTATTTCTAGTTCCGGTTATGTTATGTGAAAAAATATTTCTACTACTTGCGATTCTTCAATTATTGTTTAGCTAATATACCTAATTTCATAATTTTATAACTTTTAATGAATCTGTAACCTACTTTTATCAAATAATAATTGAAATTGGGGTAAAATAACTTTTTTCTTAAAACAAAGTAAAAATTTGATTAATAATATTATTTTTTTTAACTATTTGTAAGTTCTAACGTGACTGACTAGTATCCTTTACATAAATAGAAATATTTTTTAAAAAAATTAATTTATATTTGATTTAATTTAAATTTAACCTAAATTGTACACTTGGATATGATGGATAAATTTATTATTAAAGATTTTTTTTTAAACACAAAAATTTAAATCTAAAACTTTACTTAAATGATATCGAACCACTTGTTATTCACATTAACTTCCATCAATAATTTACTTGTTTCTTTAAATTTTTAGACCCCATTTATAATAATAATAATAATTAAATTAATTATATTTATACAACTAAATATTTATAAGACATATTAATGCTTTTTCATGATATTGTTTTCATAGTTTTATTATATCATAAGTTTATTTTTTAAAATAATAAATATTTTAATTTATTAGTTCTCTAATAGTACTTTAAAAACAAATATTTAATACTTTGTATTTATGTTATTATATGTATTATATATTATAAGATTTGTTTATTTACTTTTAAAAATATAACAAAATATAAATGCATCAATCTTGATCACTTTAGCTTGAACTATACGAGATGAAATTAACATTTTAAACAAATTCACTTTAATGATAAAATAAAAAAAGGTGATAAGATTAGTTAAATAACCTTTATCCCCAAACTGATATAGTTTTGTATTTAATTGGAACGAAAATTTGAAGTTATAATCATACCCAATTATAATATTTTATTGTCGAAATGCACTTATATGTTTTAATATTTTGACGACCATTCACGTGACAACACAATTTCGTAAAACAGTGAAACGAAGCTTGATATGTTTACATGGGTCACGATCAAGTAATATTAGTGTTTCGTTGAAGTTTTGGAGTATTGTTTGAATTTGAGGTTTTGTCGTTTTGATGTTTATGGGCTTTACGACTTTGTTTCCAAACGGCGCTCTGATTGGTGGGAAGATGTTAGCGTTTAAGATTTTAAGATAGAATAAGATGGTATGAGTACAACTGACTCAAATTGAGCTGAGCATTCAAAGTTTAAATTTTATTATAAGGAAAAAAGAACGTTTAAATTTAATTCATTTATTTAAATGAAATATATTTAAAATTTTAGACCTAACTCATTAACTTACTTATAATTTTTTTTTTACAAATTTTCATAAATTTTTATTAATTTAATATTTAATGAATACTTTTATATTAAAAAGTAAATAAATAGTAATTAAATATAATTTTATCTACATGAAAATAAGTTTAGGTTAAAAATAAAAAATTGTCATACAAATAATATATTTCTTTAAAATTTAACGTTATTTGTTTAAAATATACCTTTTATTAATTAAAAATTAGATAAATAATACAGAATAATAATAATTTTAAATAAATATAATAAATAAAAATATAATTCTCTAAGTATATTATTCATAATCTATTAATGTTAAGTTTGTAAAGTTTAAATTTGACTCATTTAAATAATTAAGTGTTGTCCATAATTCTAACCAGCAAGTAAACTATGTGATTGTAATAAGTAATAAAAGATAGAAATGTGAATTTCAAGTATTGTTTGCATAGATTAATATATTCAATTATTAATTCACAAATTATTTGAGCTAATTGAAAATTGTAGAAATTGGAAATTTAAGAACAAGAATATAAAATAGCATAGTACAAGTACTGAAATAAATTCATTAATCAAAGGAAGTTATGGTTGATTTCACTTAATCTTTAATTGCAAGTTGGATTATATTTTGAATCCCTAGGCTCTTTGATTAAATTCTCCAATTTAAACAAAGTTTAATTCATTGACTCAGTGATCTTAATATCTAATTAATTACCTAATTCCTTATGTATAAATCAATCAAATATTGCACGAGGATTAAGAATTTAACAGACTATAACAATCCTAACATTCATCTCATATCAGTATTATTCACTCAATTTCTATTAATGCAAACATTCTAGAAACAATCTAATTGAGTAGCTAATTCAAAAACTGCAATAAGAGAAGGGATGAATGTTCAATACAATCAAAACTAAGAATCTAGAGTAATAACCAAATTACAACATCAGAAAAGGATTCATCAATCCCTAACTAAGAAAATTAGCAAAACATAATGGAAGATGGAGAGAAAGAAAGAATAGAAGAAAAAGAGATGAAGAATTCCGTCAAATTTGAGGCCCAAGTGTGTTTCCACTTGAAATGAGTTTTTAGAATCGCTCCTAAATCTCTCTTTGTCTCTCTAAGAAGGTGATGACGAAAAGCGAGAAAAAGTCTCCCTAAAATATGTAGTTCGAGCCATTTATATGTTTCATGCGCCTCTAAATTGATCACTCTTGTCACCTAAAGTGGCTATGCTTAGCAGGTTTCCTTATTTTGTGCTTTTGAAGTGATTACTGTTACTCGTAAAAGTAGTTATGCATAACAAGTCTTTTTTTTGTTGTGCCTCTAAAGTGACCACTTCTACTGCTAAAAGTGGCTATGCACAATGTGAAAACTCATTTTTTTTATTATTTTATTTTTTGTTTACTTCTTGAAATTAAATAAAATAAATGTAAAATAAAAAAGAAAAGGAGATCTGTAAAATAAGGAGCAAGCAAGTTGCTCCCGCTGCCTGTAAGTATCTAATTGAAAGTGAAGTTGCAAGAAATAAGAATAGCATGTAGAAGCAAATGTAAAAAGGGTTGAATCAAATGAAAAAAAAATAAACATAAAAAAACCAGAAAGAAGGCATATAGTGACCACACAGAACAAAAAATTTGAGTAAATTTTTTCTCTAAATGTTCTATAGATTCATCAAATTAAACTCATTTTAACTTGTATCTGAACCTATTTACATGCTATCTCTACAATCATCTTACACATTTTAGCACACGTTATGGATCAAAATTTCAAACAACAAAACCACAATCTCAGAATTTCCAAATATAGTTAAATAGTCAATAATAAAAGGAGAGGTATTAAAATGAACCCAAGGTCCAAGAACCACAACCACCACGTTTTGTTACTGCAACCACCATAAACGACCATGTCTCAAACACCTTGTCTCTGTAACCTTTCAAGATCTGTTGTCATATTAAATTCCACAAGCCTTGAACCACTATCAGCGACTATACTTTACCACCATCATTCCTCTTCTTTCTCTCTCATCCTCTATCTTGGTCATTCCTTATCTTTCTTTCTTTCACTCTCTTAATCAATATTCCTATATCAAAATCCTAAATATTAGCTGCCACAAGCCAATACATCCCCACAAGCTTGTTGTTGTTGTCCTTATTTGTTTCCAAAAACCAAGCTTCATCTTCCTAATTTGATTGGATGCCACAAAATGTTTAGAATACGTGCATATTAAAAGTTGAATCTCGATCATAACTTACTCTTATGTGTGTGCGCATGTGTGTGTGTGTGTGTGTGTGTGTGTGTGTGTATATATATATATATTTGAAAATCACTTTATTTTAATATGATAAAAATCATATTTTTCAGATTAAAATTTTATATCCTAAATTTACTTTCATTTTAGAATGACCATCACTAACAATTATATAAATTGAAGCATAGTAGTCAAATTGAATGCTGGAACGTAGGATTATATGAGTTTACAATCTCTAACCACTCTTCTGTGCTAGCTCGCCCTTGGAAATGCA